CCAATCCGATGAATCATATGTCTACCGACGTAATACAGACAATGTTGGATATGATGAGAAATTGTAAGTGATATAACTACTAAATTGTCAATATTTTTCGAGACAAATTAAGTTCTAAATTAATTTATAGAAGAAAGTCATCTGGTTATTGGTCAGACAAGTATCAATCAATGACGAGTCATTATCATTACCAATTCCTTAGGAAATCTGTAATCCATTTAAAAAGACCAGCGGGTAGGCCATTTGCTAGAAGCTTGTTTATAAGGCTGTCCTACCAGACTCTGTCAGAGGCTTTCGAGATGTCCAGTGAGTACTCTACTCTACAAATGTGGGTGGCTTCATTTTAATTAAAAAAAAAAAAACCTTAAACAACGCACTTCTTTATCTATTAACAAAAAAATCACAGTGCATCTTACTATTAATATTAAGCTCATTTTATAGCAGTTTTGTAGTCATTTTCAAGTTTCTTATTTTCCAATTAATATTTTCAATTTCAATGTTTCAGCGGCGGCATTGAGCGGCATTAACAATGAATCTCGCGCAAAAGAGATTTTAAATTCGGAACGAAGCAGACCTAGACCCGTCAGATATCCCTGCACGACAAATATCGCAGTTCGAACGTTTTCCAGTGGAATGGCTAGCTCGGTGGCTTCAACTTCGGCAATTTCACATAATCCGACGGCTCCCTACTTACCTAATACGTCTCACCTGCCGAATGCTCCTCACCTACCTAATACACCACTTGGTTCTACTGAACCTCGTCCCCCGACTGTACCTCATCCGCCACCAGCCCCGCATCCCCCGATTGCTCCTCATCCCCCGATTGCTCCTCATCCCCCGACTGCTCCTCATCCCCCGACTGCTCCTCATCCTCCAAGCGCACCCTATCCCCCGACTGCTCCTCATCTTCCTAGTGGTCCTCATCTTACAACTGCATCGCATCCTTCGACTGCATCCCATCCTCCTAGTGTTTCTCATCCGCCAACTGCGCTACAACCCCACGTGAGAGCCGTCACTACGCCATCAACGTATTTGCCGTACCAGCCGGCTGTTCCGCCACCACCGACTAGGGGTTACTATCCGCAGGCGTATCCTAGTAGTAAGTTACAATCTGGTCAAAATTTAGTTTAAGTCAAATTTCCGCTTCCAGACATCTGTTATTGTATTTATTTTTTGAACGTCTTTTAGATGTACCAAATGCTCAGCAAATACATTCAAATTTTCCTGTGCGAGTGGCAGTAAATCCACAAATACCAGCTCGTCCTTCAACATCGACGACAGCGACGGTGACGGCGTCGACACCGTCGGTACAAAACACGCAGAATTACAATGCGTATGTTATGGCCAGATATCCCTCCCAGCCACCCTATGGTCCATTTCAATAACAGCGGTATGTACTTTTAAATGTTCGGTCTAAAGAACAAAGATAATTAATTTGTGACGAACGCACTCTATAGCGAAATTATATCGAACGCTTAGCGACTAAAATATCAATATCAATACGTTACTTTGCACAACGTTACTATTTGACTATGCATCAGAATTAATATTCCTATTTTTGTGCAAAGTAAACTTAAAATGTTATTCTTGTTTGGAAGCTGCGAATTGAATAGACTGATATACAGTATTATTAGATTTAAGCTATACATAAGAACTTTTGTAAGACATGTTAAAATGATTTATTATGATTTCGGCTTACTTACGACGAGGAACTCGACTAGTTAGATATTTTTGAAAAAAAAAAATCAAAAACAGGGTAACTAAATAATTAATTTATAAAATAAAAAAAAATCTGTTGTCTGTTTGCACATGATAATCTTCGTAACTAACTGAAGGACTAATATGAAACTATATTTATTATGTAGCTGTCTGTGAGTGGTCTAGTTCTGTCCAAAAGTCCATATTTTACGCTGACAATTTTTTTACAAAAAATTGCCGAAAATGATCGAAAAGTGTATTTAGGTACTTTCCACTAAACATCTTCACGCTATAATATTCATAAGGAGCGGAGTTAGCTTTGACAATTTAAGAAAACGACATTTTATTAAAGCAATATAATAAGTTTTACAGGAGTATTGAAAATTTTAATCAATATAGAGTGAAATAGGCATCGATTTTTATAGGTTGGATTATATATATGACTTGCATTATGGCTGGAGTAAAATATCTA